TTAATATGAAAAATTTATAATAAAGAAAATAAAAATTACATTGTATAATTTATCTCTTCCATGAAGCCTAAAATTTCTATAATGTCTAGGTTTAATGCTAAAAGGTTAAGGTGAAGTTATCCATCATTTAATCATTGCATTGATTCATTTAGTCAAAACACTTGTTTTAAAGTAGATAGATTTTATTGGAAATTTAGGAGGACCAAATAGGTGATTGAGTGCTATAACTCTAGTAAGGGATGCACATTTATCTTTAACGTTTCATTTCCTCTATTGTTTTCTCTGAGGCTAGGAACAGAGTACAGGCTCCTTGTGAACTATTAATCCTTCAGCCTTAGATTTCTAGATGGTAAAATTTTAAGCATTTACTGCCATGTTCAACTGTAAATTTTCTCTCTAAACTTTTTCTCAAATGTTAGTTGTCAAAATTTCTCTTCTGCTATAATGCTACTCCTGGCCTATGTGTGAGTATTCTCACTTCCTGTGTTTTCTGAAGAATCTATAGATTTCTCCTGACTACATCTAGAGGTCTCCTGAATGCAGATCCAGATGTCTCCTGAGTGACTGCACATAAATTTCCTCGGGACACTTCAAACTAAACAGATCTAAATCAAAACTCTCCAAACTTTTATAAAACCTGTTCCCTAACATTTAAATGTACATGAACGAAGTTGGCAAAACATCTTACAGAGACACTGAAGTAGATTATATGATTTATTATAAAATGACATTTCTAGAATTTTTCCTAAGAAAATGTTCTAAAAATGGAGACTTTTCATAAAATCTAATGCCAAAGTTTGAATGGTTTGTAGCATGTATTAATGAGACACAAGTTGAGTTTCTGATAATAAGAATTTTTCAGGCCAGCTTTAGCTTAGTGGTAAAGTATTTGCCTCTCATCTGTGAGATGAATCAGGTTAAAACAGACAATGTTTTAAAACCTATGTTTTCTATCTTGGGGAATTATCATGAAATCATTATAAAGTGATTCAAAGATTATGTTGTAGCACAAATAATGCTTACAATAAAATAGAGGAAACTACACTAGTATTACAATGACGCTTTCAAAATATAGTCTACATGGTCAGTTTAAAAAAGTTTATTACTTTTAAAATAGAAAAAATAGTTAAATAATGGGGAAGGATATAGTTGATTACATTTCTTTCCAAATATTATACTGTATACATATATCAAAAACTACGTTATTCCAGTTTTCTAAAATCCTGACTATTTGAGGGAAGACTTCTGGAAGCAAATAAGAAATGATAGCAGGGCATGTCTGCCTCACTGTGTGTCTGTTTCTATTATCCCAGAGTAAAGGCTTTGATTAATTTGCTTTCTTTAAACATTTCAGTTCATTGCCAACTTAACCCTGACATGAATTCTTAGGTCTCTGAATAGGTAATGGAACCTAAATTGAATAAAGTAGGTATTAAGAAACCATTGCAATTTGTATTAAAAATTATAATTGCTAAAAGTCAAGATCTTCATTGAGCCAGCTTGCTCTGATTAGTAGGAGAAATTCATAAAGCCATCTACTAAACGTTTTAGAAGACTACAAATGTGGACAGATTGCTTTAGGAATAAGATCGTACTGACTGAGCTAAAAGCATTCAGATCCACGCAGCAGATTCCCAATACAGCTGAGCATGCTTACAGGGGGAAAGGCCTCACAACCTTTCTCAAATGCTCAGACCTAATCACATCTTAAGCATGTTATCATTTTAAATTAAAACTCACAGTCAGAAAAACAATTCTGTGCGAGGAGAAAATCAACATCTTCAGCCCTGCAGAGTTGCTGTTGACATACTCTATGTATGTGACTCGTTTATTTTCTTAAACAAGTATATTCACGTTTTTATTGGATAGTTAAATATTTCCATTTTATTGTACCATTTGCTAAAGTGGATATAAATTAGTTTGAAGAGAATATGATGGCAATATAACTAGCTCCTTCTCTCAAAATAACACTGCGTCCCTCCCTGATGTTTACGCTCTGAGAACTCCCTCAGCCACTGGAAATACGTCCTTCAGTGGGGGGCCATTAAGCCCCCCAGCAGTGCCTCTCACAGTCACAGCATCTCCATACCTCCCAAGAAATCTGGAAATCACTTTTATGGTTCATTTTCCAAACGCACGTTTTATTCTACTTTAAGCGAATATAGAGACGTACTTTTCAAAGATGAATTGAAATACACATTTAACTATGTTTGTTATGTCTAATAATATCACACAGGCCATTCAATAACAATTTATTATAATCACTAATTCCAGAAGATGGCATTTCTAGCACTCAAGAAGGCAGCAGGCAGGAAAAGATTCCTGTTCATCTCCCCTCCATGCCATGAATGCATAAGAAGACAGTAGAAGCTTTTGTGGATTATCCCATCACAATATGTTTGTGGCACATGTTATCCACATCACAAAAAATAAGAAATCATTTTCAAAAAGAAAGCGCTAGATTTGTGACTACTAAAATGTTTTTAAATTTTCTTATAAATAGCCAGTATCTAAATTTTTTAATTGAAATTATTTGAATATAGTTTAGAAAGCACACAACTGGGCATGGTGGCACATGTTTTTAATCCTAACACCTGGGAGACAGAGGCAGGGAGGTTGCTATGAGATTGAGGTCAGTCTGGTATATATACTGAGTTATAGGAGACCTGAGGATACATGTCAACATCCTGCCTCAAGAACAAACAAAATTAACAGGGAAAGGAAAGAAGGAAGGATAGAAGGGAGGAGGGAGGGAGGGAAAAAGAAAGAGAAATATACCCATTTTGAAAAACAAAACTTTTGTATCAGAAGGCAAGACTTGTGCCCAAAGTCCCCAATCCAACTACTATCTTGTGGTTAAGAGAGCCGATGTGTAATGCTTTTTAGGAAAACGACAGTGGCTCTTCTGCACCATTGGAGTGCTGAATAGCACGGAGGAGGAAAATAGAGAGTTCATGTTCACCTCATTCTCTATGTGGGATGTGTGAGTTGATCCTTTTAAAACAGTTCTGTGCCATAAATAGCTTTATTCTAATTTTATAGGTGAACATTCCAAGCCATTGAGCTTTATTTCACACACATCCAAAAACTTTTGTTGCAAGGGTGAAATCTGAAGTCATTCTGAGATGATGAGTTGATGCTCTATTTTGCCTGGACTGTCACCATTATAGAAGAGAACACCTTGAATCCCAGGAAACTTCTCAGTTCTAGGCATCCTGTGACAGAAAATGTCACTTTATTTGATAAAGACTGTATATCAAATAAGTGAATACATGGGAGTTACTTTCTTCCTGCTTT